TGAAATGGATGAGCCCACTCTCCCAACTGAACAATCTACTGGGGGCCATGTGCTTGGGCAAGAGGCAGACAGACGGAGAGAGGGGCCCAGTCTCACTCCTGCAGGGAGCTTGCCTCTCAGCCTCACCTCTCCCCTGTCCAGCTTTAGCCCCTCTCCAAGGCAGCCAGTGAACCAAGTTCCTTGGGCATCCAAGGGACCTCAAAGAGTTACCTTCTTTTTCTCCTTTCTGATTCAGGCCTTCATACTCTCCTGTGTGGACTCTTCTAATAACCTTCTACCTCATCTTCCCACCTCAATTTCCTCCCTCCCCCCATCCCCACCCCAACCACCTCCTAGATCCCAGGGCACATCTCTAACCATGCTGCTCGGCAATGCATGTGGAAAAGGTCAGACTCTTTAGCATGGCATTCAACCCCGCCCCCCCTTCTGCTCTCAACAGCTCTTTCAGCCCTGTTGCCCACTCCTTTTCTGCATATACCCTATGTTCTAGCCATAATCCAGTGAGTCTTCAAATGTCCCCTCTAGACAGTCTTCAAACACCCCCATTACTTCCATCTCTGCACGTTTTGGTCGTGTCGTTTCACCATCTGCCTGAAATGCTCTTTTTCTCCTGTTCCCATCCCTATTTATCCCTCGAGGTGTGGTTCAAATGCTACCACTTCCGTGAAGCCTTCCCTGATCCCCTAGCTGGAGGTAATTCCTCCCTCTCAGAGCACTGAATGTGTGCCTCTCATCTAGTATGTATCCTCCGTTTCTATACAAGACATTTGCATGCATATACTGGCTAAGAGTGTGAGATCTGCAGTCAGACTGGCTGGGTTTGAATCGTAGTTCTGCCACTTATCAGTCGTAGTTCTGCCACTTATCAGCTCTATACCTTGGCCAAGCCACTTAACGTCCCCATGTCCCATTTATAAAATGGGAATAATGGAAGTGCAACTTCCTAGTGTTGCTTTGGCAACTGACATAATACCTGAGATATCTGGCATATCAATAACTGTTAACATCAATGTATGTTGTTATTATTATCACTCCCATTAAACTCTAAGTTTCCTGAAGGCAGGATCAGTGTCTGTTTATATTTGTAACCAAAGTACTAGTGCCTGGCAAAGTACGAACTCAATAAGTGTGTTCTGTGAACGAATGATGCATGCACACCAGTCTGATCAGCTCATCACTGTGAGTTTACCAAGTGCTTACATCAGGTACTGTGTTATGTGCTAGGGGCATACAGCTGGGGAGGCACTTGACATAATCTTCACAGTAGCTGTATAAAGTAGGTACTTTTAAAAGCCCATTTTACAGATGAGAAAGCTAAGGAACAGAGACGTCAAATAATCTGCCAGGGTCACACAGAGCCAGGTTTTGAGTTCAGGTTGGCCTGACCCCAAATCCTGTGCTCCATGCTCTTCCCACTGACTACAGCACACCCCAGCAAAGTCCTCTTCACTCTAGCTCTAAACATCAAGGGAGACCACATTATGAGATCCTTTGCAGAAGTTTTTTCTGCCTCAGGAAACTTGCTCTTTTGCCCCAAGAGCTGAAGGCTGTTCCTAATGTACCTCCTCTATCACCTTCTTATTTCCTCCTTATTTTGCCTTTATGCTCTGGTCCTCCTCCATGTACCAGAATCTCCTGAACTTGTGGCCACTAGTGGCTAGATAATTGCCTTCTAGGAACACCAAGTTGTTCTAGAAGGACCTTCCCCAGCCTGAGAGAAGTCTCTCTGCTGCTTCACCAGGCCTCAGCTAGGATCGACATTAAAGGAGCTGGTTCCATCAACCTCCTCCTCCTCCAAGAAGCCTTCCCACCCTGGCTGTACTTTACTCAGCCTTTATGCACTCTGTTTGCTCTACACTGATCTGAACTCACGAGCAACACCCTGTGAGCATCTTACATCTGCTTCCTCTGTGTGCCTATGTCTACCCCATTTGTTGGAAGCCCTCAAGGGAGCAGTGTATAAGGAACAGCTGGTCCCAAGGCCTGTGTTCAGGCAGGGCCCCTCTTTGGCTGCTGGAGCGGGGAGAGATATATTCCCTACTGAGTAGTTGCAGCCCTGACCCCCTCATCCTTAGGAAGAAGTGTGTCAGCTGCTGCTACTCTCCTGCTACATTTCAGCCCTGAAACCAGATCCCTGTCCTTTTCCAAACAGGGGAGAAGGGCCAGTTCTCCAGACATCAACCTAATTGAGCCAGGATCCCCAAATTCTCAGCGTCCTTCCAGTGCTCACTTGTTACAATGCAAATTTTCTGCTTCAGGAAATTGGGAAATTCTGCTACTTTGGTTTTCAAGATCAGGCTCTTCTTGTCTAGATTTTCTGGGCCAAGGGCAGGACCAGGAGGCAGGAGAGGAGTGCACAACACCCTCGACAAAGAAAATTTCACAACTCCTTGATGTTTCTTTTTCCAGCAGCCTTAACCCACAGTGTCTGTAGGACGTATGCTTCTTGAAGGGAATTTAACGGCATAAATGAATGTAGAGCTTGACTAGTATTACATGAGTGCCATTCCTGGGCACACACTAACTTAGGGCAAAGCCAAGCATCACACAGTCCTCCTGGGTGGCAGGGAAGATTCTGCCTGGGATGAACACACACACACACACACACACACACTTCAAGCTCATGACACATACTGACTATAAGCCTTTCCCACCCCATTGCAGACCCAGGGGATAAACAAGCCAACACCTTCCTAACCCAGGCACAACCAAGCTGCGGTGAATTCAAACCCCAAAGTCCTTAGAGGAGCCAAAAGGCTGAGCCTGAGCAACTCAGCTCCACCTTCTCCTTCACTCCATTGGGAAAACAGAGTCACTGAGATCTGGCTCTGCCTAAGCCCTGGGCTGAGGCGTCAGGGAGTGAACAAGACTCTAATAGCTCTGCCTGTCACTCTGCTCTGTCTCCTTTCTGGGCAGACTGGCACTGGGGAGGGGGCGGAACACCATGGGTGGAGGGAGGGTGCAGAGCTCTCCCATCTGAGTGTCATTCTGGGCCCCAGGCCAGGCATTTGGCTTCCTCTCCAAGAGAGTCAAAGGCTGAAGCTGTTCAGACAAAGGGCCAAATGAAAGCTAATGGGGAGCTGGGTGACTTCAGCCTCTCCCCTTCCTCCTTCCGGGGACTGGGGCTCAAGTCCTTGGCAGGAGAGCGTGCAAATCAAGACCTGGAGCTCAGCTCTGTGCAGATTCCTATTGCCTTTTTTATTCTCCCGGCGTCCACAGACTGTCTTCGCCCCCCCTCACCACCTCCCACCTAAGGTGCTGTAAAAAATGCAAATCAGTAGGATTTTAAAATTCAAGCCCGTGCCAGGAACACCCACAAACCCTCTATTAAGGCAGATCCTGAGGTGGGTGGTGTGGTCCCAGATTCCAAGCAAAAAAAAGAGGATTCTGTTAGATTCTTTTCTCAACATGGCCCTTGGACTTCAGACATTATCTGTGGCAACCTTGACCTTTCCTTCTGGTATTGGACAAGTGAATGGGACAAGTCAGAATTATGTGTGGGCTGGGGCCAGCCATCCCAAACTGACATGGAAAGCGTGAGAAAATGAGTATGGGAAAGGACATGATGGAGACTCTTCTGTCCCTCATCTAAGAAGCATTCCTCTGGGTAATGTTCCCATCTGAGTGTCACCACCAAAAGGGCTTGGGGAGGAAGTCCCAGAGAAGTGACCATTGACCTGAAAAGCCAGGCCCCGGAGTGGGACAGACAGAAAGAGTGCCTGGGCCACTTGACCAGGAAGCATCAATGAGAACACCTGCTGCTACAAGCTCCCCCTCCCCCACAAGCCGGCCCCTGTTAAAGCTGCCAAGCTCCCTCCCCAGCGGGAAGAGTGGACAGTTTGCAGGCAGGAGTGGGAGAGGCTGTCATGGAATCTGGAGAGCCATGGGCTGGCACTTTTTGGATCCAGGTCTGCTGTTGTCAGCCTGGGTGCCCCTGGCCCTGAAAAGCAAGAAGAAAGAGGGGAGAAAAGTGAGACCGAAAAGAGGTCGACTCCAAGAGAAACAAACTAAAAGGGACAAAAGGAGGCGGAGGCAAAGCCCCAGGAGAGCCTGGTTGACAGAGACGGCTGTGGCGGCCCAGGTGGGGGACGTACATAATATCTGTCTGAATTCTGGTGGTGGGCAGAACAAGAGAGGTGGCAGGTGGGAGGGGGAGGGATATTAAGTCAGTAAGAAGCAATGCGCCTCCCACAACAGAGTTTCGGCAGGCGCCGCCCTCCCCACTTGGGCGATTTCCACGCCCCGCCGCCCACCCCCCGACCCCGAGACTGTGCCACTTCTCCCGGCCCCCGCACCCCGGCCTCTGCACGTTCCCTCCTCGTTCCCCCAGCCCAGACCCCTGACATCTGGCTGGGCCTCCGCACTCCCGCTCGCGAGCTGCCAGGCGGCGCCCGTCCTCCCGCGCCGGGCCCGCCCCCGCCGGTCCAGCTGCCAGCCCCCTCCCCGCTGGCAGGCAAGTCCGGGCAGACAGCCGGCAGGGCCTGCCCCTGCAGCCGCGCCAGCCCTGCCAAGCCCGGCCGCCACAGCTGGGGGGGTGCCCGGAGGTGCCAGCTCCCCTCGAGCGAGCAGTCCCTGACCGACCTCCTGCCCCGCGCAGGGCTGGGGCCACGCACCCTCCTCCCGGCGCCCCGCGCAGCCCCAGCTGCCCGGCAGCCGCGTTCCGCTCTTTCCGTGTGGGCGCCCGGGTCCCACCGCGTCTCGGGTGAGCCCTCTTTGCTCCTTCGGGTCTCTGGGCACATTTCGGTCTGGACTTGCTTGGCTCCCTCCGTCTCTCTCACTCGTTCGTGCCTGCCTCCCTCTCACACAAGTCTCTGCTCCAAGTTTCCACGGGGCCCCTTTCCCTCAGGACAGGCCCTGTCCTCCGCCTGCTCGCCGTGTGCCCTCCTCTCCTCTCTGGGCCTCGGCCCCGCGCGCGTCGCGGTCCCGGGGTCCTGGCGGAGGCCAGGTACCCGTCGTGGCGGAGCAGCCCTCCCAGCCCCCGGCTCCCGCTCCGCTCTTACCAGCTCCTGTTTGAGGCGGCGCAAATAGCAGTCCATTTCCCTGCTCTTCTTCCTCATGCGCCTATTGGCCGGGCTCGGCTCCACGAGAGAGTCCCAGGTTGGGAACACCGGTCCCACCAAAACCGCGCTCGGCCGGCTCGCGGCCCCCCGCGCCTCTCGCAGCGCCGAGCCGAGCCTCTGCTCCCAGGTCCGGACTTGGAGCCGCTTCCCGGCTACTCGCGGCGCGCAGTCCGTGCTGGGGGCGGAGGGAAAAGTGGGACAGCCTATGAGAATGCAGGAGGGATGCCTTCAGCCAATGAGAAGAACGCACGGGGGGCGCGGGCTGGGCTGCAGTGGATGGGCCCTGGAGCGGGTGGGTGCACCAGGCGAGGGCCTCCGCTCCTGGGGGGCTGACATGGGGGACACCTACCTGGTCCTGGCCGGTGCGGCGGGGGATATCGTGACGCCAGACTGTACCGACGTCCCCCAACAAAGCACGTGACCCCCAGAGAGAGCCCGTCTTACGGGATGGGAACTGGGTAGCGGTCTCGGAAGAAGCTGAGTACCTCAGTGTCAACACTGTTTCCCAAACTCCGATCAGAAAAGGAACACCCTCCACCCCAAATGCCACTCGGCAGCTCTTTTGAATTCTGAAGTGTTCAAAAAAGTGGACTCCGGAAGTGTGGGTCTACCTCACCTTCCAGTCTACTCCTCACCCCTGGAGCGGAGGAGCCGCCGCTCGGTCCGTTCACGTATTTATCACGAAGCAATGGAGGCTCTACTGTACTCCCTGCAGGGTTATAGGTCTGCCGTTACTGAACAAGACAGGCTAGGTCTCTGGTCTCAAGAACGTACAAGGGGCGGCGGAAGGGAAGGGGATAAGACAGGTAAAAAAATAAAAATTAGACACCATAATTTCAGGTAATGACTCTTCATGAAAACATAAAATAGGGTAATGCGATGGGGGCTGCCTTCAGTAGGGTGGGCAGGGGTGGAGGAGCAGGCCTTTCTCTCCCGCAGTACTGCGGCGGCGTCAGTTATCCTAATTCTTGCTCTGGCCACTTGCGAAGCTCTCTGTAAGGTCGGGGGAGGGAGAGAGGACTCAAAGATGCTAACATTCTATTCAGCAGACGCGGCACATGCGCCGGAGGTGTGCGAGCTCCAGCCAGGTCCTGGGCGATGGACCCGAGAGGGGCCGCAGGCCTGCCCGGGCGTTCCTCCCAGCCGAACCCAGGACCCGCAACGCCGGCCTCCGCGTGAGTCGGCGCTGAGGTTCCCACCCGGTGCCCGGGCTCCCTGCAATACGGCCTGGCCCGCGGGGGGGCGGTGTTGCAGGGCCCGAGAATAATTAGCGCAATTAGCGACTTGTTGTTTCAAGGTAATTAATGGGGGAAAGTTTGCCCCAGGCAGAATTTAGGGATCTCCGAAAGAGTCAACCTTGAAGACGCGAGAGAAGGGGCAAAGCAAGGAGGCAGAAACTTCGGCCATTCCGATCCGTGTCAGCAAAGAGCGCCACCTCTGTTTACCATGGAGAGGTGAGAGCGAAGGAGGGAGGGAGGATAAAAATGAACGTCTTCAGAAATGAAGACTTTGCAGAGTCCAGTCGGATGGCCTCCACTTAGCCCCGGGTTCTCAATTATAGTGGACCTTGCCTAGGGCTCTCGGCCTAGCCCTGACTGCCCCCTTTGGATGAAGCTGGGTAGCGGAAGCCGCGGGATAGAGAAAAGGAAAAGGCACACAGGTGGGTCAGAAACCAGTCCGAAGCCTGTGTCTCGGTGGCCGCTCGCCAACTCAGGTGGCCTCGCTCCCTTCGAGATCGCGGCACAGGATCCCGCGTGGGTCAAAAAAGCCGACGGCCGGGGGATGGAGCTGAGAATCTGCCCCCGAGTTTCCAACGCCCGCTGGGAGAGCCCGAAAATGCATTTCTTGCTGCTCTCCCAGGCCGGCCACCGCCAGTGGCGAGTCCGGCCCGCTGGTCCACTCAGCGTTGCAGAGCCCGGCCCCCGGCTTCCTGGCAGTTGTGAATCGAGATCCCCAAGGGGCCCCTTTGGGTAGGACACGAGGAGAGTTCAGAGTGGGAACCATTCCCAAGTATGGGGCTAAGGTCTCCAGCCCAGGTGGACCAGTTTTTGAGTTGAATCCTCTGGGACTGCCCGTTAACATATAGTTCACGGAGGAAGTTTTATGTGGGGAGAAACAACACAAAAGAGCTCCTCAAGCCGGAGGGCCGGTGCTTTGCTGTGCAGCACCCAGCAGCAGTGGCAGGTATAGGAGGCACTGAGTCTGCAGGTGTGTGGCTGAAATAGTATTGGGAGTCAAGTTTCAGGCCTAATTTTCTCCATGCCTTTGAGCTCAAGGACTGGAATCCTCTTGGAAGTTAGTGGGAGAGCAGCTATGGTTAAAACTCCCGGAGATGCAGGCTGATGTCTTCACAAGAATTTAGGACTGGGTGTTTAGGCCTTCTAGAGTATTGACAACACAGTATGACCTTGCCCAGATGCTTTCCTTTTACTGGCCTCAGTTTCCTTGCTATGTGAATCTTAACACTTTTATATGCCTTACAAAACTCTATTTTGACAATGATCTGTGAAGTAGTCAGGACAAGGGGAATCCATCTTGGAGATGAAGAATATATTGTTAGCAAAGCCGAAGATTGCATTCTACCCACTTTTTTATTTTTGCGGTACGCGGGCCTCTCACTGTTGTGGTCTCTCCCATTGCGAAGCACAGGCTCCGGACACACAGGCCCAGTGGCCATGGCTCATGGGCCCAGCTGCTCCGCGGCATGTGGGATCTTCCCAGACCGGGGCACGAACCGTGTCCCCTGCATCGGCAGGCGGACTCCCAACCACTGTGCCACCAGGGAAGCCCTCTACCCACTTTTAAGGTCAAGGATATGGCAAGAAAAAAAACTGATGACCATAAACTCAGTGCAGTGCTCAAAAGAGACAGGTCCCAGCCAAGTCAGAAGTGCTATTACCGTGTGGTTCCCCCAGAACTTTGGAGGACAATTACTGTCAAACTCTGGGGTGCTTTTATGATGCTGGACCACTACAACTTTCTTGCTCCCCTGCCTCTGAGAAGGTCAACATTACACCAGGGTGTGTGGAGCCCTCTCTCTTACCTGGTTTCTGAAGAGGTAGCTCTGTCTTCCACCTTTTCTTTTTCTTTTTCTTAAGTGGTAGAGAATAAAGCCTATTGCCATGGTTGTATAAACAGGGATAAATATTCTTGGGCTGAGGATGGGGGTGGGGGTTAGAGGATGATTCATTTTTGCTGAAGAGGAATCAAATGGTTCAGCCTCCTCCCTCCTGCCCCCCACCCCGGCAACACTCAGCCTGGGGGGAAGATGAGATTACCTCATTTGAAAATAAAGAATAAATCAAAGGTCTTGAGATTGGATGTGAACTTACTTTCTCAAAGCCGTCCAGAGCTGGAGTGGAACCCTCAGAAGCATCTCAGCTTTGCCCCTTGCTGGTGGGGGTAAGTGTATTGTGGGTACTTTTCTTGAGGTGCAGCTCCTGGAAACGGTGCCTAAAGGTGTCAGACTCTTGTGGTTTGCCCAGCCTAGTCAGGGAAGGTGGTCCCCTCTGCTCTACTGCCAGAGCCTGAAGGTCCTGGCACCGATGACTGAGCTCAAAGGGAGAGGCAGAACCAGGTGTATCCCAACGGAACTCGGATCCTAAACTAAACAATGGAAACACTGCCATTCTCCTAGCTCCAGATCCTATGGTTCTCACCTGGACGTCCCAACCCACCAAGTCTTAGCCTGCCCTGGATGAGGCACCCCTGGCTAAGGCAATGGCCATCTCATCTCCACTGGCAACAGAAGAGCTGAGGAGCTCATCCTGATAACCTGATGTGAGGAAAGAGATATGTGGCCACACACAGTCTGGAAACCTCATCATAACATCACCCTCCCAAGGGTGGGTCCATGTCCCCATTGCCCTCATGCCTCCCCCCCTTGTGGCTGCCAACAGCCCTTATCCCAATCCCCGTCCCCGCTCCCCCCACACCTCCTGAGCATCAACAGGAAAGGCTGACCCTAGAGATAAACACGTTCTGTTGGAATGTGTTCAGATATCACTGCAGAACTGTTTCTCTCCAGGCAGAGGACCTCTCCTGGCAGGCAGGCCCATAGGTGCTGAGCAGAGACTGCGTGGCTGGTGTGAAACACTGGGATGGTGGGGGAGGAATTGGACAGAAGCCTAACTCTTCTTAGAATAACCTAACTCTCAGTTTTCATGATATCTTCCTCTGTCCACCTTAGACAGAGGCCTGGGCTCCTCTGCTTCTTACAATCCCAACACCAGGAGAGACAGCAGAGAGACGAAGTGGTCTACATGTTGGGAGCCCTCTCGGTTCCAAAAGAAAGATTCACTTTGGTGTTTAAGGGAAAACTCTTCTGACTGGGTGGTGGAATCAAAGACTCAGTCATAGGAAGCTTGTTAGCTTTTGGTGTCCTCAAACTAGAGTATCATTCTCCTCACTTTCAGATAGAGCAACTGAGGTCCAAAGAGATGGGTCTGAAAGGTGATATAATAAAGTCTCCCTGTTTCCAAGGTAACCTCTTTCTACTGCCCTCCTCTGCGGAATACTTCCCCATCCGCAGAATGGCCATCACTCTTGCATACTGTGTTAACTTAGACGCCGCAGTCACAGTCGTCACTTCTTTACAAAGTTCCTGGGCTGCAAGACCAGTTATGCAGGTGCTAAAACTTTTTGGAGAGGGACAGAAGGAAGGTGTTGGAGGAAGCAGTAGCAGGATAGTCGTCTGAGAAAACTTCATGAATGAATGGATTATTTCACCTGAACAATTCAGAGGAATTGTAAGTGCAAAATTAGACTAGTCTGAATAATGAACAGTTAAGTCTATGGGCTGCTACCAACCCCTATTTGGAATTATTTGCAGCTATGGGCCTGTGCTTATGGTGCCTAAGCGATGGTCTCATTGCTACTGGGAAGTAAACATTTCCATTTTGCAAACATTTGCTGGAAAAGCAAGTATTTTTCAACTGCAAAGAACACCTGAAGAATGTCAGGGCACAGCTAGGGGATATACTTATGGAATTTGTGCAGATTGGTTGATGCAAACAGCACTGAGAAGGAAAGAGACTTGCTCCCTGCACTCTCCTGGGGATATCCTGCCACATCTGGCTCCCTGGAGGCCCAGCCCTGACTTGCCTGTAACATCACCGTGGCCTGCAACTCAGGGCAAAAGCTGATTTTATTACACAC